GTAAGAATTTAAATGTATCCTGCCGACTCTCTGTGTGACTTTCAAGTCTGAGGACAAGGCAGGGGTCAAGTAAAGCCGCCACAAACTGGAGTAACACAATCACTAAAAGCACAGTGTCCAAAATAATAAAGGAAATAACCAGGAGATGAATAAGTAATGCCAACAATTCTCACTAAGTGTAGTGTTTTCAATCTGGCTTGAAGCCCATCTTATTCCACACAGTGGTTTTAGTCTTTTGCTACTCTGGAAGGCATCACAAAAATTACTTTCTCAACAAAAAAAAAAAAATTGTATTATTAGTCCATTATGCTTCCAACATAGGAAAACTCCACCACCATGAGCTAAAGACAGTGACGTGTAGTTTTAGCTGTGCTAAGTCAGTCAGTCAGTCAGTCAGACTATTGACAAAGCAAATACACAGCAGAGCATTAATCAGTCACACACGATCCAACAGCCTCTTAATGTATAAATCAATCAGGCTAACCATAGTGTGCCACTCAGCCAGTCAGTTTACCAGCCAGCTGACCAATCTGAAAAGCATGCTGACTTTATTGCTACAAGAGATGCAACTTGTTCATGTAATCCGGCTTGAAAGCACTGAGTGGCTTCATGTTTGTCTGGAGCTTGCATCTAATAGCATTAATGGTGGCTCTTCAGTGCACTGATCTCAGTGGAACTCTTAATGCATGACTTCTATTTTCCAGTTTCTGGTAACATCCATACCATCAACAGTGTTGGACAGTGAAGATCTATAAGCTCTGTATGCATTACTGAAGCAACTTAAAAAACAAAGTAAGAGTTAAAAAGATTTCGTGCAATCTTGACTACTATTTAAAAAAATGTGGCAAAAGGAAAACTGCAAGCAATACAAATAAGTCATGAGTGAGCTTACAAAGCACATAGCTTGATTTAAAATGCCAAACTGACATCTCTATTTGTGTCATAACTAAACTAAATAATTTAATAGTGGTATTAATCTTCTCGTGTAATATCTTGGTCAAGAAGTGAATCATATTTTAAAAATATGATTCACTGCATAATGAGGTTAAAAAAAGTACTATCAGAAAGTTTAATTCTAACATTACTAACAAACACTTATATTTTTAATTTTCATACTGAAAAAACAAACAAACAAAACAAACGTATTGTAGGTTGGGATCAGTGGTGTTCCAGCCGATCAAGCAAGACAGGCAGTACTTGCCCAGTAAAGTACTTTTCTAAATTACCAGCTGTATAAAATGAAAATTACTCAAGAGTTTTAAAGTATTTTTACATATATATATATATATATATATATATATATATATATATATATATATATATATATATATATATTTTGAAGAGCAACCCTTAAGGCTTGTCCACAGGAAGTGACTAGTAGCAACATGGTAAGAAGAGACTAATGAAAGTCAATGACATTCAGCCACTTGGGAGCACTGGTGGTGTAAAGTGACCAGGTCTCAGGTTAAACTTTTGTTAACTTCAATGTGAGCAACTTAAATGATCAATGAAGTGAAGGATACAATTAATTGCTATTAAATGGCTGGTAAATACTGTATGCTACAGGGTTACCTAGGCAACCAGTGTGATCAGTCAAGGGTGGAAAGCAAAGGGCAATAAGCAAATTGGTTTAAGTGCTGGAAAGTTTATGTAGAGCCATGAAAATAATTCAAGTGTTTGGTGGCAAAACAGATGATATAAAAGATGGACGTGGTTTCCATGATTGAAAAGTGAAGCCAACACAAAAGCCAACTGCATTTTGTGCAGGATTAAAGTAAGTAGGCTAAAGGGTGTTGCAAAAAGATTTTTTGCTCTACAGAAGTCTAAGGAAGCCTTGACCCTGACCTAAAAATTTACTTCCCTGTTCATTCTGTTCCTTCTGACTAAGCCCATGAATTTTCTCACAAGCTCCAGCTCAACCCTTACGTGTCACATCTACATCTAAAACATCAAGACATCACCATTATTACATCCATCTATTATACTGCAAATGGGAAGCAGCTAAATATCCTTAGTGGTAGATTATGCTGTGACTCCAGTGACCCATTTAACATACAGCCAACAATGATACTGATACTCTTTATAATTAGCTGTTCTTTTATGATCGAAAATGGAAGTGTGTTATTTAATCAACATTGAAGAGCCATTTCAGGCATACAGTATGAGAGAGATGACGAGAAAAGAGAGAGATCAAGTAAAGTGAGGAGAGTTAAAGATAACTGTGGCGATGTGAGACGAGGAGGGAGAAGATATTTTTTGCTCCCTGGTGCCAAGAATTAGCCCTGGGCAGACGGGGTTATAGATTTACCTTGAGTGAGCCAGTGATAGCTGATATCCCCATGACAAGGTTATGCCACAAACACCGGGAAACTGCTGACGTCAGAATACACACATTATACTACATCAACATTACTTGTTGCCTTATAGTAAAACCATAAACCTGTGACCAAACCGACTCAAATTCAGCTCTTTCAGCTTCCTGATGAATCCCCATTATCATGCAGTGTTTTTATGGCACATCATTAACTGCTGCATTTGCCCTTCTACGTAGCCAATGATCATTACTGCTTCTCAAAAGAATGACTCCAACCTGGCAAATAAAATAAATACATTCCCATGGTTTTAAACTTCTTTGAAAAAATACATCTATACAACATTCTTGTGGCATTCATGTTGTTTATATTTCTTCAGGGACACTACTTTTCTCTTTCTGTATACATAGAAAAACCTATCTATTCATAAGTGTTCATGGACACAAAAAGTAAAGTCCTCTTGGGGGAGATAAGAAGTGGTGAGAAGAAATGTGTTTAGGTACCAAACTACTTGGGTTAAGAAAAAGACCATGGTCTGGGTTGATAAAAAAAAAAAAAAATCAGTGTTTCACAGGTTTAGTCAGGTTTCCAAGAAAAGAACAATTTCACAAGAAATATATAACCCAGGAAAAACAGCTGGAGAAATAGATCAATGGGTTTGAAGGCTTATCAGATGCCAACACACTGCACAGAAAGAAAGAAAGAAAATTGTACAACACTTCAGAGAGACACCCATGCCCAACTATAATTAAAACTGACCAAACGGCACTAGTGTCATTTCAGACTGTTTGAATGTTTCACTTTTGAGTTGAAAGTATTATTTGCTTAACTGATTACTTGACAACTTTGACATTTTTGCAAAGCGTACTGACATTAAATTTTTTAGTTAAGTTACTGTATAAAACACACATTTGATTTATATTGTTTGTTCCTGGAGTTTGTGAATCCATTTTCTCCAGCTGCAAAATATATAAATAATTAAAATAGCCATTAGTTGCAGCATTCACTCATCCTATCATTTCCATTAGGATGAGTGGATATAAAAACGAAAAAGAATACAGTTGATTTAAGGTGGCATTCACAATCTGATCTGTTGCTTAATTTCAAGGATTTTCTCCACTTAAACTGAAAGAAAGACAGATTTTACGTCCTATTTTTTCAACTCACAAAACCCAACATAAGACACTGCACAGAAAATTGTTCCAATGAACCGATCAATAGTGGACAAGAGAAGTGAAGGGTTCCTATAGCCATATGAAAGTTAGTCTGGTCTACGCAATTTTTTCGAGTTGAAAGATTCCCTAAAACAGCAGAGTCTGCATCCGATGTCTTAGGTTGTTTTAAGGCAAGATTTTCCTCTGAGACTACTCTTTGGAATTATGTAAAGAATTTTAAGCACATATGGGCAAACATCTGTTATGAAAATGATTTAGTGGCAGATGTAGGAATGGACTTCTTATATTTAAGTTATTATTTTTTAATTCCTACACCATGTCTTCTCATAAAAGCTTAATTGCCAATGAATAAATTAATAAAATCACCACGAGAGCACAGCTAACTCACATCTAGCTGACTTCCTGTAGGCCAAGGAAGTGATGTCCATTTTGACCTTGATGTTAATGAGGTCAGGGGTACTGACTCTCTGTGACAGGTGGCTAACCCTGAACTAATTATAGCCTCGGGCTGGTCAATGTGTACAAACACAAAAGCCCAAATGTCAGCATGTGCACGCAAGAGCAAACGGGAAGCATTTTAAGCACAAACAAAGATGCATTTGGACAAATAAGCACATACGCGCAAGTTGTCAAGGGGATTCAAACACTGGACCTGATGCTGATGTCCAACTTCAGCTAAAAGACTGATAGTTTACAAAGTGAAGCTGTCAATGCAGTGAGGAATATTTATTGATTTCAAGTCAGACCTATTGATCATCTTCTAGGTGCTTTTGTGTGTCAGTGATTTCGTCTTAACTTCGTCCTTGCACAATGACTTATGTACAGGCGCACACAGACAGACAGCCCACACCTAACCGCAGGGTGTGACTGCTGACGCTTTTGGCTGGGGAACACGTTTCTCCCCCAAAGTCCCACACCTCTCACGTCACAGTCGAACAGGAGGTTGAATGTGTGGTGTGATGGCATAAAACGGGACATTATGTTTTCTTCTGAAAAAGTTCCTTAAAGAGAGGAAGATTTAAAGTATGTGTGTCCCTATAAGTGGTACCTTTTTTATGTATTTTCAAAATATTGTTTTCTTTACAACAAAGCCACCAAACCAGTGAATTTAAGTCACTTAAAACATAACAGCAGCTGACACAGCTGCCTGAAATCCCAGTCTGTTCTCTGTAGCTGATTCCTGTTATCTTCTCCTTTCTTCTCTGCCCATGCTCCCTGCACATCCATCTTTCTGTCTTTTTTCCCCCACTCACCCCCCACAGTATTCCCTCTGGGACCACCCCTCTTATCCCGCTGAGTGTCTCGTACGTGCATGCATGATTATGTGTGTGCATGTGTGTGATGGGAGGCTGCATCGTGACAAAAGAGAAGCACCTAGCCTTCACTAGACCACCACATCTCAAACATTTCTCTTTCCTCCTGTGTGTCAGCTCTCATTCCTCCTTTACTTTCCCTCTTACTAAGACCAATTTTATCCCTCTAAACTCATCCTTCCCTCCTTGTCTTTCTCTACCTTTTTCTTTGGTTCGCGAGACCGTTTCCTTGACTTCTTCCTCTCCTTCTCCTTCTCTTCCTCTGCAGCGAGGTTCTCGTCCGCCTTTTTCTTCAGCTGCGAAGCGGCATGCGCCATGGTTCTCCAGCCCAATTAATCCACACAGGTGGGAACTGAAAAAGGAGGGATGAATGAAGGAAGGGAGTCTGGACCCAAAGTCTCCCCTTTAGCCTTATCTTCTTGGCTCCTAATTATCTTTTTGTTCCTCCTCTTCTCGGCTGTTCTTTTGTCAGAGAGTGAGCCCTCACAGGTGTGTGAGAGGGAGATTGTCTGAGGACTTTCCTGTCCTCGTTTTAAAGATTTGGCTCTCTCTTTTGTGCCTTATTTCCCTCAGCAGCTATCCACTGAGGTCCAGTTTGGGGCATGGCACAGACAGGACATACTCCTCTCTTTCACCTCTGCAAAATCCACGGCTGACAAGACAGCTGCTTCCACTCAGAGCTCACAGTGTAAATGAGTGCCAAATTATAACAAATACAAAAAGAAGAAGAATTTCCTTTAAACATTTAGGATCCACACACAGTTGAAATGGTCCTCTTGTTAATGAATAGTGTATAAATGAAAGCTTAGTTACAGGTAGATTAAGAGAGCTTCAGGGATGGAGGTCCAAAAAGAGGGCTCAATCTCCAGCCCTCAGCCCAGCAAAAAGCTCTGTCTGGGTGTAAAGTCTGGTCCTGTTGCCTGCTTGACTGGTTCCCAAAGTCTGCTGCCTGCACCTGAGCACTGAGCCATCCTCTATGTGCACACACACACGGTCCGCAACGCCTTGCCGGGACACATGAACAGCAGGGAAATGACAGAGGAAAGGAGGTTTAGATAGGAGAAGGAGAAGGAGGGGGAGGAAGAGGAGGGAGGGGTGCAAAAGGAGGGGGCAGAGAGAGAGAGAGGTAGAGAGAGCAGCTGGGACAGCACAAAAAAGGAGGGAGTAGGGATGGATGAATACCTCTGCTTAGTACCAGCTGGCTATGGCTGAGCGATAAAGAGAGAAAGGAAGATGAGACTCCATGCAGGGTACATACAGTACAAACACACAATGGGAGTCCAGCATATCACACCGTGCAGAGGTCTGCAGCCATGACGCTCTGGTTACGAAACTTCAGCATCTTTGCCATCTTGATCCTCATTTTATTTCCTTTACATATGAAAACAAGGGCAGTTGAATACATTACCACGTTTTGTTTAATCAGAGTTTAACTGTCTGAATCATAAAGTATTACGCAGAGATCAATCTAATACAAAGCTACAATAATAATGTTTAACTTAGCTTTTGACAAACCATTCAGCATAAAGGTGCACTGTACATATAAACCCACACACTTAGTATTCTTTGGTAGGTTATAATAACAGCTAAGTATATTTTGTGACTTATGTTGCCATTGCTTTTTAATGCGAGAATACAGTGCTAACCTGCAACTGAAGTAGTGAAGTGAAGCTTTTATTTTGAAAGTTGAGCTAAATCTTATTGTGTCATGTAGAGCCAGCCTGAGGCATAAGCCGACTAAGCAGCTGGCGGGAGCCCCCAAGAGCACCTGAAATGTCACACCAGACATTTGATAAATGTATATTTATATAGTAATACAGTAATCATACACAAGACAGTGGAATATTTTGATAAATATGTCTCAAAAAGGATTTATCGCTCTGGTCTGAAAAGAAAAGAAAACACAGGATAAAGGTATTTTTCTAGGAATAATTACATTACACTCATAAGCCATGATAATGGCTGTGCTCGATATATAATGCACAAATGAGCGTCCATGGCAATATACAGATAATATTGGCAGTGCTGAGGTCAGTGGATAGTGATGGGATTAAACGTGGGCAGGGACCCCAAATGAAATTGTGCTTAAGACCCCATCAAAGCTTGGGCTGGCTCTGGTACCATGGATTTTAGATCAGAATATCCAGCTCTCTTCAATCTCAAATTGGTGAATTGATTTTGTCCTATCTGGGTGAGGACCTGTGCTAGCTGAGAAACTGGATTTTTGTTGTCATGATGATATGAAGATATCGAAACCCTACACAAACAAATCCTGGAACAGAGTGATTCAAACACAGCATGCATTCACACTCACATTTAGCCTTGCTTAATAAATTTTTCTTCTTTTTGAAGTATTTTGTGCCTATTAAAGCAGAACGCCATATTCCTGATATATAGACATTCATAACAATAAATATTGGATAATGCACATCACAGATTGCCTTTAGATCATTTAGTTCTCGTGGGGATGTGTGTCTCGACTTTACAGCATACTATGTTTTGGAACATTTAGTTTAGCTGATGTCAGTCGTTTATTTCTACACTGTCTGACTTTTTTCGACGTCGCCCCCTGTTGGCCGTGTTTTCCACTGGCTTCCGCTGTACTTTTTGTTCAGTGGTAACTAGGAAATGTTGGTATCCTGGTATACACTAAAACAGGATGGCTTATATGTTGATCTTTTTATGGAGGCTGCTCATTAATAAAATATGTGGGATGTCTTTAAAATGTGTCACATGCTGCGAGGAAATTCAGATTAGTTAGCATTGCTTACGCAAAGGTAACTTGTATTATATTGCTGGCATTGTATTACCGGCAATGGTGCATGCATTGAGATTTCACACAAAACATTTCAGCATCATACTCAGAACACTGAGAAAATATTGAATATTGAATTAATGAAAGAAACTTACTGTAACATACTGTGTAATTCCATTATGTTAAAAATGACAGCCTGGTAAATCGCAAACATTTTGACATCAAATGTAGAACTAAATGAAAAACGTATATGCAGACATGTTCGGACCAACAGATCAATTACTGGGATACTATTGAGATACATATTCATTTTAAATTAAAATAATCAGATATGGAATAACAAGACCTTAGAGGCAACTACTTTCAAGGAAGCATTACCAACCAGCATAAAATTAATGAGAAGCAGAGATCCAGTTTGTTTCCTGAGGTGATAAGAGTAATGAGCAACAAGCCACCACATCTCCTTAAATGACGATCATTCATATTTCCGTATATACCTCACAGTCAGTGTGTAAAGTCAGAAAGACCATGTCATAAATGCATTTCTAAATCTTTTCATTTCTTATTTGGGGTTTCCAGGAGGTGTGTTATGAGTCCTGCTATGAGCTCATTTCTGGATACTGCAGCCTTTGAATATTAACAACATGGGCGGGGGGATGGTCTATGGTAAGAACATGTGAGAGCAAAGGAGCCTGGCTATTGGTTGCCTGGGATATGAGAACGCTGTATATTTTGCTGCTTTTCAAAGGGTGGTCCTACCTACAAACAGACAATAACAAAGGGGAGAGGAGAGAATGTTTCATATGAACAACCAGCATCTTTTTTCATATAACATCTATCTTCTGTTTTATATCCTTTTCTTTCTATATTTCTAAGCTATAATTAGGCCCAATAATGTTTTTTATGATTTTGATTGGCAAGACATAATGAGCAAGACATAATTTTATTAACTGTATGCAGTGTGACTGAAGATAACACCATGGGAAAGGTGTTAATATCATAATTGGGTGTTTAGTGTGGTATATCTATGCAGACACAACAGCTAAGCTGCACTACAGCTTGTGCCCCAGATATTGCCTCTGGCTACAAGCCAGTGAGTGAATGGACAAACATGACACCATCACTCAGTTGCAAATGGTGCCTATGTGCATAGCTACTGTAAAGAAAGCTTGCTAATCTTCCAGTAATAACAACTGACTGATGAAGGAAACAGTTTTCCCAGTAAAAGCAGCTAAAATAGCTCTTCAATGCCAAGCAAAGACACAATCAGCAACAGCCAGACTTTGCCATACTTTCAGTGTTTGCTATTATCACTGTCTGTAGATCTCTCAAAACTATGGCTGAAAAATGCAATTCTTTGTACAGTTTCTGATGTATAAACTGCAAATAAACAATGCACTATTTTTTATCCTTATATTTGTCCAACCCCCGTCAATGTATCCACACACACACAGAACATGACCTGGCCAGTCAACCAAAATTCTGGCAACTTTTCTTTTCCTTAGCCTGGGACGATAACACTGTGTGAATACTGATCAGCGGTTTCCTGTAAATCTAGTTGCACTTTAATCTGAATTTGAATATTTCACAGACATGTTACAAGTGAGTATTTTATTATTTGCACTGCTACTAAATGGCAATATTTTAAAAGATAATGATAGATAGATAATGAATGTCACAAAAGGTTATACTGTACAAATACTAGCTGTGAAACATTAAATTACAATTGTGCAATAACTAGAGGGAATTGGACTCAGCCAGTTTGGCAATTGTCTCGTGCAGGGCTGCTTACTAAAGCTGTTCCAATACAACAGGTCAAAGGTTATAGCATAGGACTGAACGCATATGCAATTTGGGAATGCATCAACAATGCTGACTCCCAGTCAATCCATTCATTTACTGTACTGAGCGTCTTTTTCAGTCCCCTCAACTATCATGATACATATTTAAACAACCTTAAAATCAGAAGGAAAATGTTCCACATTCAAAAATTCCACTCAAGCTAATCACATCCTAAACTCTAGTTACTGCACCATAATAAGTCATCAGTCAGTCAGTGACATCAGGATTTATTGGACTAATCCTTCATTATCTCCATCTGTAAAAGGAGCTTATGAATTAGAATTACTGGACCTTACAGTCCCTTTGTCTGTTGTGAAACTGGGATTAACAGCAGGTGATTTCTCTGTACACGGATCAGATGTTTAAAAAAGACAAGGGTGTTTGTAAGTTGCTTGCAGTCTCTGGCAGTGTCTTTGCAGTGAAATTACCCTTCTTTCAGACTTTCTTTCAGCCTACTCACAGAGGAAATAGCACACTCAGGAAAAATGTCATGATTCCAAATGTGGGTCAGCAGCAAACATGCCAGCCAACTGCATTTCCCCCCCTTTTTACTCTTTCATCATCTCCTCCTTTCCTTTCAGTCTATCTCTGATGTTTTTCTTTTATCAATCTTTCTGTCCCTATGCTGCTGATCTAACCATTGCCTGCAGCAAACTACTCAGCACACATACACATGAAACTGCAGTTAATGAAGTCTTGGAGGAGTGTGCATTACAGGGTAGAAACCAATATAGCAGATGATCACAGTATGGACCTGAGGGAAAACCAGAGAATTCCCCAAGATAAAATTGTCCACAAACAACAACTATTATCCATATGAATATGTATGAATTATAACCCATTTCATCATCTAATAATGCATCAGAAAAATGGAAAAAAACAAAAAACAAACAAACAAAAAAAACAGAATAAGAATCCTTAAAATTCTACAACTTACATGGGCACATGCTACTTTGTTCCCTGGGTTGATCATTTGCAAAGAAGCATTTGCAAAGAAAGGAAGAGCTCATCAAACTATCAAGGAGAAAACAAACACTCATGTTTCATCTGCACAAACATTCTAGACAGTATTTTATATGTTTGGGTCTAATTGTTCAGGGATCGGCAGTAAAAGCCAACAAAACAGCAGTCAGAGAGTGCCTTTGTATTCATGTACGTTTGTGCACAAAAGAAAAAGTTTACCTGCAATAATTTCATATCTGCTTTCATAAAAAACAGGACACATCCATCCTGGTGCACAAAATGAACGAGAAAGCAAAATGAATGGATTGCAAGCTGTTTAGTGTCGTTAACAATGACGCCCACAGATAATAACTGTGGTGTTTGGCTCCCTCTATTGGCAAATCAATTTCATACAGCCAGGTCCCTGCACAGCTTTAGTTACGCGGTGGAAGCAAATTTGC